AATGTTGACTGAAACTCTCATTCAAAAGAATTTTGCAAAGATTCTGCCACTGGCACAGATTTTGTTACTGCAGGAGGCAATTCGCTCCCTGAAGGAGCCAGCAGAAGGAAAAAAGGGGAACATGGAGAAAATGGAACCAGAAACGGAATCCACGCAGGATATCCCCATCACAGTGAGAGCGGCGAGTTCTCAACATGATGTCACCAACATGGTGGTGCCCAGTGATTCAGGTAGCTGCGATACGGAGCTGGACTTCGCATGACTCTGTGACCTTCTTAACCCTAAGTTTCTGGAAAAGGAAGCACCAGCAGTAGGAGAATCAGGTAAGGGTACTTAAGACCCTTTTTCTTCTGGAAGCAACAGCAGCAAATGCTATCACGATGTGCGTGACTTGGTAATGTTTCATCAGAAATTTAAAGGGGACGGCAGCAATTCCGGCACTGGATCAATACAGATTGGTGAGCGTTTAACATCTTATTGATGCTGCGTACACTGGTACAATGCAGTAGCCCTACTTAATGCATAGGAGAAAAAAAATAAAACAAAAAATAACAAAAAATAAAAACAAAATAATTGGAATATCACCAATGGGCCATACTGGAAAATCAGAGGCCCATTGAACAAAAATTGATGGGGCTACTGGTGACTGCCATTNATAAAGTGCTATGTACAAAATGTAAAAGTTTGAAAATAAATTGATAAAATAAAATATAATGACTATAAATTGAACATCCTCAGATGTGGAACCATTACCAATCCTGATCCAAAGACAGTTTTTAGATTTATTTTTTTCATAAACATCACAAATATATGCCTTGGGCTTTGCAAATAATTTCCTCTTTATTCAGTGGTGCAAAAATATAAAACCTGGATGAAGACCCCTGTCACTATGCATTTATGATGCAAATAAAAAACTTTAAAATGTAAAAATCTCGAAATTGCATTTTTGGTCTTTATCGTATAATTCATGAGCTTATATCTTAAAATTGGCTTGTTATATCTGAATAAAACTTGGAAACTATGTGTGTTATGCTTCTTTCTTCATTTCGTCAGAAGGAATTTTTATTTGAAAGTAAGGGGTCAATTTTATAGGTCATTCTGTATCAGTGACTGCTACAAAAGACATAAAATTTTTTAAAAATTCAAATAATTTTATTATTAATTTATAATCTCAGAATTTCTGTTGTTAAAATCTATTTTAAGTTGTTTTTTGCAAAAAAAAAAAAAAATTAAAAAAGGTGTTATGGTTTTTGAGATATAATGATTTAAAATTTTCCCAAAAAATATGCATAATTAGCCTAATTTGCAAAACCCAATTTGTATATGATAATGAGCTTTTAAAATTGTTAATTTTAATATTTTACATCATACCCTGACATTTGGAAAACATTTTGAGGTGTCTCAGCTAGGTCCAAAAATTCCAATTTTTAGGTGTAGAGTCTCACCTTAATGTCAAAATTGGACGTGCTTCTGCAAAACATTATGGATGTGTGTTCACGTTTCAAAATTAGGGCTATTCACATTGAAATCTTAGAGAGTTTAAAAAGTAATGCCTTTATTAATGGATTTATCTGATTTATGGCAAGATGTGGATACCCACTGAAAGTTTTCAGTGATAATGGAACAAATTTGGTTGGTGCAGTAAATGAATTGACTGCTAGTTTCAAACGGCTGACCAAAAACAAGATCATCGACCACATGAAGCGCAAGGGTGTGGAGTGGGTGTTCAACCCTCCTCACTGGTCTCATTTTGGGGGAGTTTGGGGAAAGAATGATTAGAACTATCCAGAAAATACTTGTGGCACTTTTGGTTGATAACAGATCATTAACGGAATGGGATCTTGTCACAGTGATTATAGTGATATGTTAAGTCAAAAACATTGTAAATAGCAGACCCATCACTAAGGTTAGTGACGATTACACCGACTTCAATGCTCTCACTCAGAATCATTTGTTGATTTTTCAAAATAACCCTTCACTTCCTTGGGGTGATTTCTCTCTCTCTGATACGTACAGAAAAATCTGGCGTCATGTTCACTTCATTGTTGATCATTTCTGGAAACGTTGGACGAAAGAATACTTACCCATTCTACAACACAGATCCAAAGGGAATTTACCTCAGAAAAATGTCAAGAATGGATATTTGGTTATGAATATGAATTCAAACTCCCCTAGGGGTCAATGGCCTATGGCTATTGCTGAGTAAGTACGTTTTAGTAAGGATGGTTTAGTCGTGAGAACATTGCGCAATGTTAGCTTTTACATTGATATTATGGGATAGAACGCAGTTTTCCACACATGATATGAGAATGGAAAAAATAAGATAGTCGTATTCCGAGATGTTTAAGAGATCAGGCATATAAGAAAGCAGATACACGTCATAGAATATTACTGTTTGGAGATGTTCAATGACTTATACTTAACTAAAGAAAGCAGACACACGTGACATTATTTTAACGTTTTAATTTAATTTAATTTTATTTTACAGTTGACGGTATTTGGTTTTTGGTTTATGATTGGATCAATAAACATTCAGTTAAAATGAGAAGGCTGTTCTTATATCAAGAAGTGCAAGAGGCTACAACTGGCCCAAATGGGTTTAGAAAGTCCTATTTTACATTTATGTTGCATGGCACAACTCTGCATATAAAGACATAATATTATATCACTGTGATTCACTATGTTGTTGTATTTTATTATCATTTGTTTATGCATCATCTGTTTCCATAATATTTTATGTAAGGACAAGAAGCATGTGCTCGCACTATGTCTGGCTTCTTAAAATGGCACGTGTGTTTGATCCCCAGAAAAAAAAAGAGAAAAAGGAGACAGCCTCAGGACATACCAAAAGCTTGTATGAAAAGAAAAGGGAAAGGGTCTTCCAGGACTAGATAAATATGTATATCTTCAACTTTATTGAACTATCTAGTTGATGATGGACACCTGGAAGGATACATATAAAGAGCACTATTAAATATCGAGCTAAGGACAGCTGGAAGAGACTGGTTAATGTATGAAGAAAAGAGGGTTACATAGGTATGATATGCCCCCTGTGCAAGAAGCACAGCAACACATCCATATCAGCAAGATTCTACCTATTCAACGATATCAAATCAAGTTGATCAAATCGATAATAGACCTCATTCTGTTTCTTATCCCAGAAAAAACAAGCAGCAGCAGCATTAGCACCTGCTTCTGAGGAGGCAGTTGACACAGCATGTGAGGAAGTTATGGCTGATCGTATCACCCAGCATGTTATGGCCAACATCCGTCAGGAGCTCCAAGCCTTGACAGCTGATTCAGCTACTGGGCAGCCTGCTGCTGCAGGTAATTATGCAGCATCTGACTTGTGACATTAAGACAACTGTATTCCCCCCCCCCCCCCTTACCAACTGCCTCACTGGGACAGACATTAGATGTTAAAATTAGGAGACGAATAATGGTGTAAATGGGAGTCACATTGCCTTACCTTCATCAAGGATTTTCTTTACCTTTTAAGCCACCTCCTTTTGTCACTCCTGCTCACTATCCATGTGCATTAATTTTAGACCTATGAATTGGCATAGAAGCGGTAGAATGAATAAGTGGTGCCACAAGTTTTTTCCCCCTAACTTCAACAAAAGAACCTGCGCTGGGTGACTTCCATTTACACCATACCATACCATAAGACATAATTATTAAACATACCAAATATTTTTTTTCAAAATTCGAGGTAAAATTAGAAAATAGTTTGCTGTATCAAATGCATTTTCTAGGCTAACTCAGAAGTCCTAAGTGTAACAAGTCATGTTGCTTTACAGTTTGCTTTGGAGATGTCATTAAATATGTGCACATTTAAAACTAATTGGTATTTAAAACTCGCACAGGAGAGTTGTCTAAGGACCTTTATTCCCGCACCCTCTTTGTTATAGCAATTCAGCTGGTCACGTGTAACTGACCAGTGGCCAGTCCAATCAGAACCAGCTGCCTCAGTCACATGTAACTGTCCAACGGTCATTTGCAGTTTTAAACGGCCCAGCGGCAGCAGCAAGTCATGCAGAGTGCACCGTAAGATTAATAGTACATGAACAGAGCAATATATTATCTGTATTAATTTTTTTTTTGTGCAGAATTTTTTGATTACTTCTCATCTACGTATATTGCTGATAAGTCTACAGTTTATCAGAGAATCATGGCAGCAGAGGAATTACAAAGTTGGAGGATAATGAACGAACTGTCCGACGAGACAATGGAGCTTCTTAGAGATGCGGGCTTTACGTCGCTTAAATCCTGCAAAATGTTGACTGAAACTCTCATTCAAAAGAATTTTGCAAAGATTCTGCCGCTGGCACAGATTTTGTTACTGCAGGAGGCAATTCGCTCCCTGAAGGAGCCAGCAGAAGGAAAAAAGGGGAACATGGAGAAAATGGAACCAGAAACAGAATCCACGCAGGATATCCCCATCACAGCGAGAGCGGCGAGTTCTCAACATGATGTCACCAACATGGTGGTGCCCAGTGATTCAGGTAGCTGCGATACGGAGCTGGACTTCGCATGACTCTGTGACCTTCTTAAGCCTAAGTTTCTGGAAAAGGAAGCACCAGCAGTAGGAGAATCAGGTAAGGGTACTTAAGACCCTTTTTCTTCTGGAAGCAACAGCAGCAAATGCTATCACGATGTGTGTGACTTGGTAATGTTTCATCAGAAATTTAAAGGGGATGGCAGCAATTCCGGCACTGGATCAATACAGATCGGTGAGATTTTAACATCTTATTGATGCTGCGTACACTGGTACAATGCAGTAGCCCTACTTAATGCATAGGAGAAAAAAAATAAAACGAAAAATAACAAAAAATAAAAACAAAATAATTTGTGTAGATCATTGTTTTCTTGTATAAGTGGAGTATCAATCAGTGATATGCGGCTTCCTGGTAAGGTCAATTAATAAGTGTATACATTATCCAGATAGAACACAGGAGGCACATATGTTGTTATCCACCGGGGGGGGGGGGGGGGGGGGACTGACGGGTGATTGATGGAATATCACCAATGGGCCATATCGGAAAATCAGAGGCCCATTGAACAAAAATTGATGGGGCTACTGGTGACTGCCATTGATGACCCAATAGTAAAGACATTGGAAGCCCAAAAGTGGGCCATTGGTGCATGCTATCTGGGATGGTAAAACTCTCTCCTCTTCCCAAAATCTTTTTGTCATTAGGTTTCCAAGCTACATTTAATAAAATAAATAATTATTTCAACTGATTAAGTTGAAGTACTTCCTTCCAGAATGATCTAACAGTGACAACAGACTTGCAAATTATCAAGGAAATGAACATAAAATTATGTGGGTTTCCTTTTTTTTTTTTTTTGAACAAAAATGATATGTTATCCATTCTATATTTTCAGTTAACCAGTCTCCATGACTTGAGATAATACCTGCTGTCCCACTACATTTTCTGTCTTTGTTTCATCTTCTAAAGACTCAGTCTTGCTTTTTACATCTGTCTCCCCCAACTCTACTCTTTTGTCTCTGACATCCATCTGGGATGCTTTGGACTCACACTGTTCTTTGTCCTTTGCTGATATTTTCCTCATTTTTATATTCTGTATGTATCGTAATTCTCCATTCCACTCCCTTAAAACAAAATGCATTTGCAAACATAAATAAGTATTTCACATACATGTACATGTATCTGCCAAATAATTAATAGAACAACTACACATCTACCAGATGTTGTGAGTTTCTTTGGAGGTATATATGTAGAAGTAGTCCCTTGCACTTACAAATGGGGTCACAACATTACCCAAGGAATTTGGCAATTAGAAGAAGTACTTCACTGCCCAAACATAAATCTTTCATCACACTGCCATTTATATTTGTTACATTGTGCTCTAATTTAGCCACTTACAAATAGTATGTGTTAAGGAGTGTTGTTGCATGATAACGTTTTTTTAGCCTCTAAGTATGCTTTATAAGCTTTGTGAAGTGCACTGTACATACTATTCACGGTAAATGCATCTTTTAGAATATCAAATTAACTCACCTGAAATATTTCAGTCTCTTTCCATTCAATATATCTGGCACTTCTGTAAATAATAAGTAAAATTCCACCGAATGTATACCATACACATTTATATTATGTCCTTTGAGTAAAAAAAGAGGAAAAAGATAAATCATTCCAGGACTATTAACTCACAGCACAGTCTTTTCTGTATGACATTACTCTTATGACAGACACAAACACGCACAGTAAAATTTACCTTTGTTAGAACACCTACAATAACCAAGTGAATTTTTGCTTGGAATTCCCCCAATGGCAATATAATTAAAATTTTATACATCAAAATGAAACCTATAGAGATAGTTACCCAAAAATTGTTGTGATTAAGTTTATCTATGCCCTATACATACCAATACCCATTTCTTCATACTCTCTCCTATCTCTCTCAAGAGTTGTCTTGATAGCAGTCTCCCTTGACATGTGCTGCCCCCCTTGACGAGTTTTAAGACTATTCTTGATAAGCTCTATCTGTTCCATTTCCTCATCAAATCTATGAAGATATCTGCAGAGACAAAATAAAATACCATTCTATGAATGGGTCAAAACACGGTATTTGAAATGTCTCTGACGGGACATTTTAGAGACAATTTTAACAAGGCAGCAAAGCTGTCAAATGTACAGACAAAAAGCAGGAAATAACTATGCACAAAATAGGCTACTGTCAATTCTGATGCAAAAGAACATTATATTAAACTGCAAATTCAACATCAAATTTTAATTATGCTCAACAGGTAATACCAATGTAAGTAAAATGTGTAACAAGCATAAGGCTTCAGGCCCATGGCAGTTCAAGTTCACACTTTGAAAATGTATAACTTCCAGAAAAAGAAGCCAATTGGACTGCTTTTCCAACTCAGGCTGCATTTTAGTCCTGTATTTCTTTTTTGAACGTTTGGCAATCATCAGTAACATGGTTTTCCCATAATGGTCATCATGGCAGCAGCACCCAAAATTGTGTTTTCTTCTATTCTGATGCAATATTACATAATGCTTAACAGCATAATGACCATCAATTTTTAATAATAAAATATACGTATCATGGATTTTCAGAAAATGTGACTAGCATGGGTCTTCAAGCCCATGGAACTTCAAAGTCACACCTTGAAAATGCCAATATGTGAAAAATTAAAT